TTTTTTTTTTTTTTTGGGGGGGGTGGAGGGTGGTGGCTTGCATTTTGATTTGTTTGGCTGAAAGTAAAATATGGAATGGTGAAGCTTGAAACATTGCAGTCAGATTGGGACCCTGTTAGGAAAGAAAAGGTAATAGCAAAACCCTTTTTATATCTCGCTTCTCATGAAATGGGTTTGTGATGCCTTTTTTATGACATCTGTTTCTCTAAATTCCTGCAATATATGCAATATTAATTTACCAAGGAAGAAATCAAGGACTGAAAATGTAAAACCCAAATTGTAAAGTCCATTCCTTTCAGTTGTCAATAATCCCATTGGTTGTTGATTAGCTAGAACAATTCATTTGATTATCCATTTGATGTTGGAGACAATTAGGGTGCCTTTTGTTGAAGACACACAGGACAGAATGCAGTTAAATTTTCTATCTGTTGTTGGTATAACCTGAAAAATGTCTTGTGCTTAACCATTGAAAAGCAAGTTCTTTTAACACTACCACCAGTTACAGGTAAAGGTTTCAACTTTAGGTGCTGGTGGTGATAGAAGACAGAATCAGAAAATGGGAAAATTTCCTTTGTCTATGTTCTATAGGATTTGATATGTTGTTCTTTATATTTTCAACTTTTATGAACCTTCCTCCTGGAAACCACGCATGCTAAGCAATTCTTCCTTTTATGCTTTATTAGCCAAGTGTATATAATTTATATTCTTGCTTCCAGGAACGTCCTGAGATGATATTTTATTCCCCAGTCAGGTCAATTTTCCTCGCTTTTTTTTTTTTTAATCGGTGTGGGGTCAACCTTTATGCTTAGCTTAACCATGGGCTCATTTGCAGTCTGATCAAGCCAACATAATTCAAAACCTAGGTGCTGGTAAAGAACTCCACCATAGAAAAAGGATCCTAGTCTTGTTCTCACATCTTTTCAACTTTGTTCTCCTTGTTCTTATTGCAATAACTATCATAAATAACTGGCTTTATATTCAAAGAGCCTTTCCATCAACAGATACCTCCTTTTATTGCTTTAATATGTTTGTTTAATTGTCTTCAATACCGAACAGGGGTCAAGACCATTTAATCTCCAGTGATAAAATTTTAGATTTTGTATTGGGAAGATACATCTTATTTGCTTTCTACTTCATATTGCTTTCCTTTTGAGTAGAGTATATCTCTTACCTGCACAAAGGATTCAGAAAGGCAACATGCATTCTGAGATATATTGTAAGATAGTAGTCATATTGAAGTGGTGCACCTTCTCTTATTATCATCTTCGTTTGTGCAAAGTGCTGGTGGAAGCATCTTTTTTTTATCCTGCCTCAGTGTGACATATGTACTTCCACTGTGAGAAAGTTTAAGATGAATTGAAGTTCCACTTCAAGTGGTTCCTTATACATCTGAAGTTGACATGTTCAATGTGACAGTGTCCAATCTCATGCCTTCCAAATTCAAAATCCTAATCTTACTCTGTACCTTTTCAGCATGTGTTTGATTTTTTTTTTTTTTGGTTTATTTTCTACGATATATCTTGTCAGCTAACAATTCTTTATGTATGAGTGCGCAAACTAGGTCAATAATAAATCTAAAATTCACAAAATCACATGTTCTCTTCAAAATATATATATTTCTTTGCAGCAGTGCTACTTACTGATTGGTTATTTAAAAAACTTAGTGTATGCGCATTTTTTAGGTAGAATTTCTGCATATCTAAAGTGAAGTTGCAGCATAGTATACTTTCATATTCTGAATAATCTTTTAAGAAAGTGCCTGACTGAGCAGCCTTAAGTTAAATAAATTGCCAACATCATCAGTGGTGACCTTCCAGATGGAAAATTCTTTCATGGGATTATTTATCATTTAATTAGCCATAGTTTCTTAGTGTTTTGAATAATTTATAATTCAGTTTTGAAATTTGTTATGAATGGCGTTCATATGCCATGTCAATACAAGCTTTGTTTAGAATGATGATGAAAGAAGTTAAATGGATGGAGTCATTCAGTGCTTATTAGATATAACCTACAGAATAGTACTTTAGTCAAAGCGTGGCCATTAGGAGTTCATCACAAACTTTCATGACCACTTTCAAGGGTTAACCAATGAAATCACTTAAACCTTCCCCTCTTTTTGCATATAAATCACCACAACATCAGCAGAGGTTTTCAGAACTTGCGTCTGCATATTTAGCTATGGATTACAAACTCTTTTCATACTTCACTTTCACCCTCATTTTTATGATTTGCTTGTTTCACTTTGCTTCTCCCTTTCCCTCTGCTTATAGCCAGCTTGATTACAAGTTTTATGACAGATCATGCCCCCGCTTGCAAATGATTGTTAGATATGGTGTTTGGACAGCTTTAAAGAATGACACTAGAATGGCTGCATCCCTCCTTCGGTTGCACTTTCACGATTGTTTTGTAAATGTAACTTTTTTTTAAACAATCTACCATCTAATGCTTGTCTATGTCCTTATCTTTTTCACTTCACACTTACCAAAATCGTTTTTAAGGCCTCAGTTGATTGCTAGTGGAAACAAAAGTGCTACTGTTTTCAGTTACTTTCTAATATGTTCTGTTATCAGGATATTTGGGAGCCCTACCAGTAATTTGCCCTTTTTAGCAACTAATTCTTATTTCAGCCAATCTCTCTAGCACAAAATGTAGGATGTGAGAGAGTTTAACCTTTCTTTCATGCGAAGTGGTATCTTACATAAGGTTGACACCAACATAGTATCTCCCCCACATTCATAAAGACTTCATTGATAGTGCATCAAATGTTCATGTGAAGAAATTGATACTGGAATTATCCTTCCCCATTGCACCATGTACTCCTATGCTTGACCTGTTACTCTAGTCCATCATTTAGCAGAATTCTTTAATATTATAATAGACAAAATTGCTTCTGAAACAATGGCACAATATAAAAGTGAAGCAATATAATGACCAGCTAATGAGTGTTTTTTCTTGCATAGGGTTGTGATGCCTCAATTCTTCTCGATGATACAATAGATTTCCAGGGGGAGAAGAATGCTTTACCAAACCGAAACTCTGCTAGAGGGTATGAAGTCATCGACAATATAAAAGCAGATGTTGAAAGAGCTTGCCCATCAACTGTTTCATGTGTTGATATATTGACTCTAGCAGCAAGAGAAGCTGTTGTCATGGTAATTTAACACGCTTATATTTTGTCGATTAGGCTGATAAATTCTGCTCATTGATTCTCAGATGATCAGACCACTAACTGTTTTCTATTTCTTTTAATTTCTTCTTTTTCTCAATTTTGTTGGTTAGGTTGGAGGTCCTTACTGGCCAGTTGCATTAGGCCGACGAGATGGATTAACTGCCAGTCAGCAAGCAGCTAATGAACAGTTGCCATCACCTTTTGAGCCTCTGGATAACATCACTGCCAAGTTCACATCAAGGGGTCTTGACCTTAAGGATGTTGTTGTCCTCTCAGGTTCTTTCTCTTCACCATTTTTTGAAAATTCAAGATAGTTGCTTCATGAATGCTCCTTCATCAAGTTTTCATTTTTCCATGGAATTTAAAAATATAAAGGTTCCACTAGAGTTGTGGACCATTAGACAATTAAAACTTTTACCAAAGTTGTTCCTCAATATTTAAGACTCATTTCTTCTATGTACCACAGAATTAGACCTCTTCAAATGCCAAGGGAATTGCAATTGTGTCAGAGGTGACATTGCATATATAACTGATACAGATGCCTTCTCTGTCGCTATTTGTTGTAGGAGCTCACACCATAGGGTATGCCCAATGCTTTACCTTCAAGAGAAGACTTTTCGATTTCAAGGGCTCAGGGAAGCCAGACCCTACACTCGATGTTTCAGCCCTCACAAACTTGCAAGGCCTCTGTCCAAACACAGACTCCTCAAACACCATTCTTGCTCCCCTTGACACTTTAAGTGTTTACAAATTCGACAACCTGTACTACACCAACCTTGTCAACAACGTGGGACTACTTGAATCCGATCAAGCTCTAATGGCAGATCCAAGAACATCTGCAATGGTCACTTCCTATAGCACAAATCCTTATCTTTTCTCAAATGACTTTGCAGCATCAATGATGAAACTTGGAAGTCTTGGGATATTGACAGGAGATAAGGGGCAGATTAGAAAGAAATGTGGGTCTATGAACTAAGTTCTTGTAATGTTGCCTGCTTAATGAAAATTAATGTTGTTCTTCCCATAATAATAACTCCACGAACCACTCTGGATCCTCATGTATACCATCACAATATATGAAAGTAAATTTATACAGAATTTAGTCCATCTTGGCATTATAAATCTTCTTTCATCAAAACCATTGATAGTGGTTTGATTGGTAATGGCCACTATGATCTTAGCTTATATTATCGAGTTTAGAAAAGCTTTGAATGGCAAATGCCACCCAACTTAGCAACTATATTTTATCTTATTTATGCTTTTTTTTTTTCCTCCTTTTTCTTTCTAATTCCACTTGGGATCAAATAAAGTTTTGAAGGAGAAGAATATGTACATAGATTCAACAAAGGAACAGACAAAGAGTGCTTGGATTCAGAAAAGAGCACAAAGAAAAGCTGTTAGATGCCTGACCTGGCTTTGCAATTGTACTGCCCCCATTGATGAGATTTATGTCCTTGTCCCTTAAAAAATAAAAAACCTCCATTTCTTTCTCTCTCTCTCTCTGTGGTCCTTCAAAACTATTGTGTTTTGGATGTAGATTCAAGAACGATCATAAAAGAAAAGTTTAATATTCTTAATGAATTAATATTTTAAAATTTTTATTAAAAGTATTTTAACAATTTCAAATTACTCTAACTTTTGATTTTTCACTTTCCTCTTCTTAAATATTAAGGAAAGCCCTTTTTGTTTTGGTCGTGATAGACTCCAGCTATGCATGATCATTTGGAGGAGAAAAGGGGAAAAGGGAGGAAGAAAGATGGATAGGTGGACCTATTGGCCTAAAGTCTCAAACATAATTTGCAACTTTTTTGTCACCCAAAACTAATAATGTTTATAACTTTTTGACCCTTAACAAAAGCTAAAGGTCATTCCCATCATCACATTCACATACAAACAAACATTCAAAACCAATAATATGGCAGTTCATTAAAAAAAAAAAAAAACCCAATAATATGATCTCCTTCCCTCATATCAAGTAGAGTTTAGTACTTTATAATTTAGATATATTGTCATGTAAATATTAATTATTAAATAAAAGATTCTTTTATAATATTATAATCTCATTTTAATTTAATAATTTATATTTTTAATTTAATATAATTTAAATTATAAAATACTCATTCATATCAAGTAAACTTCTTTGCTTTAAATACCGTTTCTCATGGAGGCTGAAGAACTGGGAAAATAATGCACCAACTATTTGAGTTAATTAAGTCTTTTAACAATTGTATAAAAGATACAAGATAGTCCTTCCTTGTTAAATTGTTACTTCCCGTTGTGGAGCCTGAACAAAGAAACTTTTCTGAGTGAAAATGGAAATACATTGAAAGAGCAAGATGAAGTACTCTTAACAGAAGTTATTAAGTGGAGGAACAGTTTCAACCACCCCTGCCCCTCTTTGGGATAACATAAAAACAAGAAGAAGCCACAATTCATGGTTCCTCCAAACGGGGCCTATATGCATCAGAAGAGCTGGTCCCTTTATGGCAGTACTATTGCATTTCCCTTTATTCTTCTTTAAATCCTGTATAGACTGGATTTTTTTTAACAAGGATATTGTCTATAATAGATTAAAAGCAGTGGGGCCTGTTAACCACCTGAGTTGTCGAGTCACTATTTTTTTCGCGTGAAAGTAAAAGAGTAAAAGATTTTAGATTTGAATTATAACACATTAGAGTTTAGTGGCTGAAAATATAAGTGTTTTTTTTTTTAGTGTAATTTAATATTTAAAAAAATATTTGAGACTAATAAAGATGCAAAAGTTCGATCAACAACTTGTTGATTCGAGTATAAAGAGTTCAGTTTTCCTCAAATAAGATATCAAGTTTGAAGTTTGTGAATAGAGAATCAGATGTTGAGAGAACTTTTTTTCCGATGAGATCCGATGCGACTCGATTCTGAATTAATCGAAATCCAATATGATTATCAAATACTGAAAGGTTAATAAACAAAAATACTAAAGTCTGTACTAATAATTGTCATATCTCTGCAAAGTCACGAGTCTAGAAATAAACATAAATTATGATGAATTTTTATTAATGCACATAATGAACAAGAACAAAAGTTCAATGTCTTTTTCTCACACTAAAAATCCCCCAATTATACTGGTTAAAGTAAGGGGTAAAGACAAAAGAATATAGAAAAAAAGATCAAAATTAAACCCCAAAAAAAATCAAAAAATTAATAGTTTGGGCAAACTAGACAGTTTGTATTTTGTAATGATGAAATCCATAGGTCAAAATTAGCTACTGCTCATTCCCAGGTCATGAAATACTTTACTAGTAAAAGCAGCTCCTTCTAGCGGCAGAGGTGCCAAAGCATTCAGCTGAGAATCCAAATTTCCAATATTTGGCTTCTTATTCATTAAATTATCATAACTTGGATGGATAATCTTTACACAATACAAACTGAGAAAACCCATTTTCATTTAAATATTACTATAAAAATTATAAAATTAATAAATACTATATCAAGAGGGGTTTTATTTATTTTTTAAAAAATACATCTTAAACTCTTGATAATACATTATATAATAAGGGTTACCCTTCATTTTTTCTTTTCTTTTTTTTTTTTTTTGTCTTCTACAAGATTTGAGCTTCATACTTTTAATACAACTTCTATAATATTTTTATTAATATTGTAATATAGCAGTAGTAATATTTTCCAAGGCTTCTCTAATTTTTTTTATTTAACAAAAAAAAAATTAAAAAAAAAATAAAAACACGATGGAAGGGAAAGACAAAGGAAACCTCTAGCACATCCAGACCCATTTTACCTTTTCTTTTTGCTAACCCCTTCCGAAGCCTCTTTTACGCTGCGCTTATCCCTCTCTTCGTTAACCCACAAAAGTCATCAACTTTCTTTCCCATTTTCTCATGATCCAAACATTAAGAAAGTCACAGCAAATTAAACAAGTTCTCTCCATTTTTTAGATCATTTCTCCCATTTTCCTTGTTTCTCAAGTACCTTTAAATCCAGAAAAAGCTGCATAGAAACTTGTACAGTTATAAACCACCTCTAAACTCCAATCCTGGGTCATGTCCGCCCCTCTGGACCAACTGCCACCGCCTACGGTGGTGACTCAACAAGCCTACACGACGCACACGGGTCACGGCTCAGTCGGGCCGGTCATAGCGGTTCTTGCGGTGATCACCATCTTGGGAGTCATCGCCGGCATGATAGGAAGACTCTGTTCGGGTCGGCCCATCATGGGTCGTGGGCACTACGATTTCGAAGGGTGGGTGGAGAGGAAATGCTCCTCCTGCCTCGATGGTAGGGTAGGCCCGCCTCCGCAACTACGAACCGAGGACATTCCGGTGGCCGTGCCGGTGCAGGAAGCCCCACAACCGGAGATAAAGGATGAAGAACAGGGGCAAGCTCAGCAAAAACACCATGGGAACCATGAATCTTGAAATGGGTTTTCAGAATTTCTTTAC